CTTCTTTCTCCACTTAATCCCGGCTAGGTCTCGCCAGCTCCGTCTGGACCTTGGGGCAGCGAATCAGCCACTGGCGTCTGGCCCATCACCATGAATATCAGGCAGACCTGCCGGGTCAGGTGGGTGCGAAGGTACCCAGGTGCATATGAAGACAGGGCCAGAGCAGTGGGGAGAAGGAAAGGCCGGTTCTACTTTCAGTCTGAGTTAGGGGGTTTAGAGGGGACTCTGAAAAAGCAGCAAACTCACACTGCATCGTTGTGGTTGTGTGCCTTGGGCAACACTTACCGGGAATGGGTGCAGCTGTTCTGGAAGAGGACTGTGGAGGCTGGATCCAGTGTGGCGTATATACTGCAGGTCCTTTGCAAAGTTGGGCGCTTGCTTTAATTACAGGCTGCAGATGCAGCATGGGCAAAGTCCCTCGCCAGGCCGCCCCCAACACAGGCCCCCGCCAATGTGTTGATCCACCACAGCCCTTTTTCCAAACTAGCAAGGGGTATGTCAGCTGTGGATAATGGGGGTTATTATCCTACCTGTCTTACCGTAAGCTGGGGAAGGCAGACCTACCCTGGAGTCCCTGGATACCAAATTCATTTGCCCTTTCCTTCCTAGGATAAAATGTACAAACAAAGGCTTCTGAAGCATGAGCGAGAAATCAAAGCAGCTGTGAGTCTCTCCCATGGTCCCTCTTTTCCTGCCCCACAGGGCCCCGTCTGCCCCATGGATTGCCAGCTCACTCCACTCCTCCTCCTGCCTCGCCTTCGTTCATGAGGCTCAAAGCCCTTTGCGCAATAACCCAGAGCCTGGTTCCCTCCCGCCACACATGCGCACACGCACGCGCTTTGATAAGTGGTGCCATTAGATAAATTTAGACCAGCCTTCCCCAACTTGGTGCCTTGACGATTTATGGATGGGCACTTCCCAGAAATCCCGGCTGATGCCCAAAAGATCTGAGGGAGCATCAAGTTGGGCCCTGGGCTTGGTGGTCTTACCGGGCAGAGGAGGGGGACCCTTTCGAAGCGAAATGCATATTCCTTCCTTCCTTCCGAATGGATAAGCCTTCCCTACTCGTGCTCTGGGGGCCCTCCATTAATTCTGTTAGATGGCGCCCTGCCCCTTGTGCTTCTCCACTCAAGGCCGTGGATGATGGACAAGCAACGATTTTCATGCCGCAACGGTTTTCATTGTGTGCTTTAGAACCCTCCAGAGGTTCCAAGCTGTTTCAAACCTGGGGGAGCAGGAAGGTGGATTTCAAAAGTAGCCAGAATATTGGTTCAGGGAGATACGGAACATGCTGGGGACTCGGGACGTGTTCTCTTTCATTTGTTTCCTCTCCATCCCTCAGGTTCCTCTGCCTCTCCAGGAAGTGATTGAGGAAGAAGTGCTAGCCATCCTGACAGACACTGTGGAGGGTGAGCCCCTGCGAGAAGCACTGGCTTTGAGCACTCTCCTCTCATCCCTCTGCGTGGCCAGCGGGACTCCTGCCAGCTTCAATTCCATTTTTTTGATCCCTGTAATGGAACCAAACTTCACTTCACCCTTCCCCAACCTTCCGTGTTGGGTTGCAACCCTCATAATCTCCTGCTGACCAGCTGGGGATGGAAGCCAGCTAAAGAAGGGCTTCTTTAGCAAGTGACTTGAGCTTGCCTGAAACCACAATTTCTGTTTCCGAGAATGAGCCCAAAATTGAGGAAAGTGAAATGGAATCACGGCTTGTTCCACCTGCCAGAAATGTGGGAGAAAGAGGGAAGTGCCGTGTTTGGGCCCAAAGCGCTTCTGTGGTGTACTAAATCCTACTAAATGCAAACCATATACAGGCACTCAGATGAATAATAATTATTCTGTTTTTTCTCTTTCCTACCCCATCCCACTTCAGACTACCAGAAAAAATTAGGAGTGGAGCACCCCCTCACCAAACAGATGGAATACCAAGTAATTGCTCTTCAGCTCAAACTTGAGCGCAAAGGGGTGCTTTGACAAAAGACACCACACAGGAGTGTCCCCTGACACCACAATTGTCTTGACCTGGTAACAAAACAAGTAAACATAGCTGACTACCAATTCGTACTCAGAATCTTTTTTTGCCGGGGTCTGCCAAAAGTTGTGCTCATGGTTCAGAAGGAACAGAAATTCCAGACAGCGGTAAGTCGTAACACACTTCGTTTCTTCTTCCCAAATAGGATTCCGCAGATAGGGGGCCTCATTCTACCATTCGTCCTCGGCTTTCTGGGCATCAGCTTGGGCTTTTTCCCATCCCTATTCCTGGGAATGACAGTGAAAGATCTAGAGCTGAGATGGACAGACCTGACAATGCCCATTTCTCCCACTTGCTCATTTTTCCAATGTTAAATTTGGCTCACCCCAAACTTTCAGGATAGTTTTAAAACATAAAAAGTATTTGAATTTGAATGTATTTCTCCAAATACGCTTTTGTACACATTTTTGCCTAGTTTGCATGCTTTACAATCTATTTTCCTAGTGTGTTTTTGAATGTGTTTTGAACTGTGTTTTTGAATGTTCTTTTAACTACTACGCCTTTGCACATTTTCCCTCTATTTACCCATCCTTTGCCAAATTCAGAGAAGTAAGAATTGTGAAGGATAATTGAGTTTGGTTTGTGTACTGGTGAGTAAGTACAAACTTAGGAGAATTTTCATTAACATGCAATCAGGTGGCTTTCTCTACCCCTTGGAATCTCATTCAGGGGGTGTGACCCTCTTGGAGGGAAAGAAAGGGCAGCTTTCTTGATACTGCGGACTTCTCCATCTGTGCAAGAGCAACCTTAAGGCTTACCTCCACTGGGTTACATCAACTCCCCATTTAAAAAAAAATCAAATATTTATGTGCCATTCCTCAGCAATGATTTCAGAAGGGCCCAAGTTCCATCTCCAGCATCTTCAGGTACAGCTGGAAGGCTCCCTGCCTGAAGCCCTGGCAAGCAATCGCCGTTCCATGCCAGCGATAACGGGTCAATGGTTTAACTCAGCAGAAGGCAGCTTCTGATGGTTTTAAGCTTTCTCTTGGAAACCGCCCAGAGGGCTTCTGGCAGTAAGGACAGATAAAAGGAAGTCCTTTTTCTCGCAGCGCCTCGTTGAACTGTGCAACACGCTGTCCCAAGAAGGGGCGACGGCCATCCCTTTGGATGGCTTCACGATTCGCGGAGAAGGCTTTCTGTGACTTAAGACCATAAGCTGCCTCCAGTCTCAAGAGGCAGGGTGCTCCTGAGCACCCGCTGCTGGGGAACATGGGGAGGAGGGTGCCACCCTGGAAGCAGCTGGTTTTCCACGGTGTGAACAGTGCGCTAGATGAACCCTTGGTTTGATCTGGCATGGGCTTTTCTGTTTTCTAAACGCTTCTCTATGCTGGGGGCACCAGCTCCGTTCTCCTCTAAGTCGCAGCAACCAGCTGCAGCGTATCCTTAAGCCCTGTAAGTCTCAGGACTTATGGAAACATGTAGATCTGTCCCTAAAAAGAGCAACGTAACTTGATTTGTGTCCTGTGTGTGCACACTTCTGCCCCCCCCCCCACACTTCCCGTTTTATAGCAGGCCCCTTTTGAAAGGACAGCAAGCTCAAACACATCTCGTGACTCTCCTAGGCAGTGCCGAGACTCTCAAAGACAACATCCTCCCCTTTGCTGAGAACCTACTTTATCCCGAGGCGGCTTCAAAGAGGTTTTTGCGTAGGCATGACAAGGCCACAGCATGGCACAAGATGATTTAATTCACTAGCCCCCAAACCTAAGTTATTGCTTCCTCGAGCAAATGAGTTGTGTATGTTTTAGTAAACACTTGGAAACTTAGAAGAGGGAAATCCGTTCTCTGCCGTTTTTGCGGGATCTCCTTGGGTGGGGTCTCTGCCAAAGGGGGGGGGGTCTCTGCAGCGCTTGGTCCTTGGTGAATTGGCCTCCTCTAGCCCAGGACATTGCCCGGTGTCCCCACATGCCAGCACCTCTCCCCCCGCCCCGGACCCCGGTGCCTGGGCCGCGAGAGACTAGGAGGGCTCCGCGTCCTCCATCTGTCCTTGTTTACACACGGCTCCAAGTCCGAAGCCACAAAGCTCCGCCGTCAAATATTTACCTGGAGCGGAGTCCCCCAACCCTCTGTCTGCCTTCCTTCCTATCTGCCCCGCCTTGCTTACCTCTCCCCCCCCCCCATAGAGCACTTAAACACACAGCGTTTTGTCTCCTGCCCTACATTCCCCTTTCCCTATGAAGGGGTCCTTTGTCCCGCAACCCGCAACTCTCTGTTTGCACTCGTGAGGCCCCTGCCAAGCCTTTGACAAGCACTTGGCTTGGGGAGTGTGTCTGTTTGTGTGTGTGTGTGTGTGTGTGTGTGTGTGTGTGTGTGGGTGGTGGAAGGGGCTGGATCCCAAGAAGAGCTGTCGGATTTCCTCCTAAAAAAACTTCCAGGAGATTCCAGGCTCAGCCATTCCGGCCCTTTTTGTTGGGCTTACGCTGAGCTATGGATCATCTGGGACTCGCGTGCCAGAGCTGCGCAGGAAAAATTGGCAATAAAAGGAGAATGTGCAGAACTATGGTAATCAGCTCAGGGATCCTGTTCAAGGGAGACCAGGAAGCACAAGGGATCCAGGCGGGCTTGCTCCCGCTACTGTCCGCCCCCACCACTCACACTTTTAAAGAAAGCAACGAGCTGTGAGTCTGTGCGGAAAGGAGCCAACACCCCCCCCCCCTCAGGCCAGAGAAAAAAGAGGCAACAGCCAGCCCTCGCTTTCAAATTCCTTGGGCAAAAACAAAAGCAAGACAATCATTTGTGAACACAGCCGGATCAGCGGGAGGAGTCTCTCATGGGGGGTGGAGCCACAACAAGAGGAGGGGCCTGTTCCTGGAAGGCGGGGCCAGGATAAAAGGGGCGGGGCCTGGCACTGGTGGGCAGAGTAAAGTCAGGCGGGAGATCTTTTCCTGGTGACTTGTGGGGGGCCCCTCCGTGCCAGTCCGCCAGCGAGTGTGGGCCCCTTCCCCCACTGCCCTCCTCCTCCTCCTCCTCAGCGGCAACGGCAGGATTTCACAACCATGTTGCTGAGCTGCTGTACTTTGGGCGAGCGGCCGACGTAGTAGAGGATGGTCAGGGGGTCCAGTTCGTGGGGGACGCAGCAAGGGGCGGCCGAGGCCTCGGGGTTCAGCTTGTTGTACAGGGGGAGCACCTGCGGGAGGGCAGGGTTGAACAGAGAGGCTGTTAGGAGAGAGGCGCACCTCCTCCCTCCACTTCTATCAGCTGGCATCTCCTGCATGCTTTCATTAAACAATTATTCCACCAAAATTACTCCCTTGCTGCCCTAGATGCTTGGTACCGTCTGCGTCTGGAACGCCTACGTCGTGATCGTCTCTTTGCCTTCTGGTCCCTCCTCCAGATTACGCAATTTCCATGAGGATTTGGCTCATCCGTTCATGCCCAAGTATAACAAAATGTAAGTACATCTAAGAGTATTTACTCAGCCCTTGTCCACCTGCCACTTTCCCTCCCTCTCCCTCTGTTCTCCTCCTCCTCCTGTCCTCACCACCTCTGGTGCAAAATTTTAAGCATATGTTCCTTGCAGCAGGTGGCAGAAAGCAAGTTTCTTTTACTTTCGTTATTCCATAAAACACCATGTAGACTGCTAATATTAATGCATTATGTGACATGGGGCTGGGGAAGCAGAGCCCTGGGGGCCCAATCGGGTTGTCCTAGGTTCCAATCTGGCCCTCCTTGGCTCTAGTTGGCCCATATCTAGACATGGATACGCTCCATTCCCCTTTCTCTCAACCACTCTCGGCAGTTTTCCAGCTTCTCCCATTCAAAAAGGCCTCTTCTACAGCTTCCTTGCTGACAGCAAGAGCTCTTAAGAAACACCAAGCAGGTAATTTGGCCCTGCCCCCTTCTGTCTTGGGCCCCATTCACTCCCGGAATGTCTTCCCGCCTTCCAGAACCTCTGCAGAATGAAACTCAGCCCTCAGCCTGAAAGAAACCCTAACCCTACCCCCTTAACCCCATGCATTACATCATTCCTGGTAAGAGTGAACTTAGATGGTAAATGCCAACAGATGCAAAGCCAAAAAGCAGCAGTGTAGAAACCAGAGAAGCAGGGCGAAGACCCTGAGGTTGGCAAAGTGTTAAAAAAAAAATGTTGAAACTGACAGTGTACCAGAAAGCCCAGCGAGGACGGAATGTGCTCGAAATGTTGCATATAGATCAGAAAGGGAAGCTGGGGTGGGGTGGAAGAGATGTTCCCAGGAGGGTAGGGCTGGCTGAAAGACCACACAAGGGCCCTCCTGTGTGACCTTCCCTTGCGGGGATCTCCGTGCTCATTGCTCATTTGTGATTTAGTGGTGGACTTCTTGATCGCCCAGCTATAAAAATAATGTGTCCTTTGCAAAAAGCTCTTGGTCTGGAGAGGAGGGGGGCGAGGGCCACTCTTACCATATTGTACTGGGTGTCCGTGCTCCACACGTACCGGCAGCTTCCGGCACAGAAGTTGGCCTTGTAACCTTTGGGCTGGTGGATCCACTTCCATTTCAGATCCTTGCGGAAGTCGATGTACAGGGTGCGGAGGCAGCAGCCCTGATCATTACTCCTGGAGCGGGATGGGGTGGAGAGAGCAGATTTACGTCGTGCTGCCAGGCGGAATTCACAGGCTAGGGCTGACGGACGTGGCCGGTGGCAAGAAACGGGCCATGTTAGAGCATCGTGGTTCGTTTCCTATACTTGTTGTCTTGGGACTGGGGAACCGGAGGCAGGCCCAGCGTGGTCCCAAAGGCTACATATCGGTGGCTGCTCACCTTGGCAGCAGGATGCCTGAGGCTCGGAGGCAGCACACCTGGAAAAATGCTTTGCGCCTGCATCCTCTAGGCATCCGAAGTTAGCCCTGTGGGGCTAGGATGCTTGGGCTAGACTGGCCAGGAGCAGGAGCTTTGGACTACACATCTCATCAGCCCCATCGAGGATGACCTACACTCAAGGATGGTGGGAGCGGAAGCCTCAATGGAGCACCAGGGTACCAAGTCGCCTAAAAAGCATTTCAGCCTTTTGGAATAGAGAAAAATCAGTGCCAAAGGCGGGGAGCTAATGAAGCACTGGCAGTTGAGTCGAAAGGCCTGGGGAGGGGCGTGGCCACCTGGGGGAGGGGCGTGGCCACAGCATTAGGTGCTCCAGGGCCCGGCACTGTGCGGATGCCTTGAGCCTCCGCATCTCCTCACCTGGCACAGCTGGGAGCGTTGGCTGCCCTGCGGCGGCGCCCCTTTGGGGAGGGCTCCAGGCGGTGCGGGGGCAGCAGGGTGAGGATCAAGTGGGGGGCTTTTCCACGGAGGTCCGGTGGCCGCGCACGGCCTCTCCACGCCTCTCGGAGGAGGTCATCGTCGAGGCCTGCGTGTGTATAGAAAGCAGCCGGCGGAGTCAAGAACATGCAGGATGGAGAGAGAGGTTGGGAAGCACCTCCTGGGGCCCCCACCTGCATGCATACCTGCAAACCGCGCCTCCAGCTCCTCGCTGTGGTTGGGGTTGATCGTGTTTCCAGCAGGGACGTAAGTGCAGCAGGGACAATGAACTCCCAGTTTGAGGCCCAGGTTTCTCTCTGGGAAGAGGATGCAGGGAGGAGGGGAATTGAAGGAGAAAATTGAGATTCTTCCGTTCTAAAGGTGAGAGCGTTGCCTGTCCAGTCATCGCCAATGCGATGCCTTCTCTTGCATCTCCCAGAACCTTCTGACAAATACTGGCTGGGGATGGTGGGAGCTGTCATCTTTCTTTTAGCTGATTCTGCTGCTCCCAAGCCCTTGCCCAGCAGCTTCTGCCACATAGGAACTAAGCCAGCGATGCTTCACTGCACCCCTGCACTTCCTCTCAATTGCAGGAACAGGCATAGATTTCTCCATGCATCCAGCTGATGTTTAAGGTATAGGCCCCGAGGCAGTAAAACACCTGCCCACAGGTGGGTGTGTGATACCAGCTGGCCATTTATGCATTGCCAAGAAAAGAGAAAAAAACTATTTTAACTTATGTTCATCGATGCAGATTTAGCAAGCATTAGTATAATTCCAATTAAAATGCAGAATATCTCACCACACTGAAGAAGGCTGCAGCCGGGTGACTGGTGTGCTCAGATGCCACTAACTGTGGATGGGAAACGTCCAGGAGCTTTTTGTCTTATATGTTTTCCCCACTTGCGACCAGACTTGGGCTGGGCAGCCCATCAGATAGACGGTACCATCAAACAGAGGACTGTCCTCTGACAGGTCTTCAGACAGAGGACTGTTCTCTCTAAAGAAGGACACCTAGGCAGCCTCCTAACAGTCTATAGGAAGGGGCTGGCTGTGGGCCAAAGCTGGGGGAAGAAACAGCCGGGCTGTTAAAGGAACACAAGCTTTCGCCCCTCTTTGGACAGTGGAAAGAGGTACCAAATAGGCATGGTTTTCCTCTGCTACCTCAGAGCAGTTATATGAAAGCTGATGCAGGAAGGGAAAGTGGCAGGGACTGGATAGGATTTGCTCACCGGCTCAGTGGTCAGGTATGTCTCAGGGTGTTCATTTACCCCAGACTAAAAACCTTCCTGGCAGAGAATCTTAACTCCGTCCACGCAAGGTGGCGGGGAAAAGAACTCCCACCTCTTTTATCCAGCCACTGGCTGATGGTCTCCGTGACGTCAAAGGACACCCATTCAGCCCGGTCCATTGGGCGCAGTGTCTGGCTCTCCACGTAACGCTGGGTCGGTGCAGAGGGTTCCCTTGCCCGAACCACCTGGGGAGAAGTTTCTTTTTATTTGACATGTTCTTAAACGTATTCCCAGCCTTTCCTCATACATTCTCACAAAGTGGGAGACAAAATACATGTCTGTGTATGTTCGGAATGCAAGAAGTCTTCGTAGGTTTGCACCCTTGGCCTTTCAAAATAACTGGCCAAAGCCAAGCAAAAGGGATGTAAATGCCTGAAACGTGAACCAATTTGTCAATGAGTTTAACAAAACCTTTTTGTTTTGGTTTTCCTGATGCCTAAAAGATAGTAAGGAGGTGACTCCATGTGAGAGGGAAGCATCACAGTCCAGAACACCGCTATTGAAAAGGCTCCTCCCATGCAGACAGCCAGGAACCCCAACTAGTGCAGTTTTCCTGGTTCTCTGTGTGGAGCAGAGCCACGCTCGAGACCATTTCTGTGAAGGCCCTGAGCCTTTCTTAGGAGAGAAAAGGGCCACCAGTTCAGCAAAAGCAATTTTGCACGGGAGCCCAAATGAAAGCGATGGAGAAGGAGAACCTTCCAAACTATTGGCACTTGGTGGGGAAATGGGAACCACGGGGGCCATGCATGGAAAGGTGTGCGCACATTTTGAAGTGCGGGGTTTCATCATGGCTGCCCACACAGGGATGTCCCTAAGGGGAGTTGAAAAATGCCGCTTGATCCATAGCTGCATAGGTGTGCACACGCATGTTTACCTGCATGCGCTTACATACACACACTGAAAAGCAGCAGTTCATCGGATAACACTCTGTTCATTAGGATCAGCAGGCAGTCAGAGAATAGAGAGCTGGCGAGGAACAGCGCGGTGCATTGACAAGCCTGGGCTGGAGAGACCTGAGGTTGCCCGAGGAAGAGCACAACATTTCTGTTGGAGCGTAGAGAGTCACCCAGTTGGCTCCATGGCTGAGCAGGGACTCGAACCCAGATCACCTCAGTCCCGCGCTCTTCACCACCACACCACATTGACTGAATATGGGTTGAGAGTGGTTTATCATGGAACAGTGGATTCAAGCATGGGTTATCATGCTGTCTGAACCCGGCAGTGAGAACAACCCACATTTGATAACCCAGACTTCACAACCCAGCCACAAACCATGGGTTCTCTTCATGGGTTGTGCTTGCTTAAGGCTTGTTAGTATAGCTGGTTTAAGGCAATGTGATAACCCGTTTCAACAATAACCCATCATTCCACATCAACTCTCACTCGACCCTCGAGCGTAGCTTTGTGTTGTGTTGTCCGAACCTAGCTGGATCCTCGCACTAGCAATCAGAACTTACTTCCAGCAATTCCATCTTTTTTCCCCCTATCAGATTTTCCGAGGAAACAACAGGAAAACCCAGAGAGAGCTGCAAGAAGACAACAACACCTGGAAGCCCTGCAAAATCTTGTGAATGGGTCAGGGCAAGATAAACCAACTCGTCTGGAGTTACATGAGCACAAGGTAATGAGTGTCAGTTACTTCGTGGGTGGGAGCTCTCTCTGCTGGCGAGGGGCAGAGGACACTTGCCTGATAGAGTTCAATGCGCTGCTCCGAAGCTCGTGCCCGGGGGTTCGGGACACGGTAGACTCGCAGTTCGGCCTGGATGAGGCTGCTGAGGTTGGCCTCAGCGCCGGAGACATCAAAACGCAGAAGACGGAAGAAAGGGCTGCTTTGGATGCTAGCAATGGAGTCTGCAGAGACGGAGAAAGACTAGGATCGCCACACGTCACAAGAAGGTAAGGAAACGGCCATCGCTCTTTCACAAACGTTCCAAGGACATTCCCAACCCCATTTTATTCATCATCCAGGCTTCATGTTTATATATTTCACAAAGCACATCATATCTCTCTCTGGCTAGCTGCTTTATCCCAGCCTGTTTGTAACTGTTTAGCTGCTTGCCCTGTCATATGCAATGCTGGATTCATTTACATTTTCATTGCCTACACAACCTCTCGCCATTTGGTGATGGAACCTTCCCTGGGTGATTGGTAAAGGCCACTCAGGTGTGCAAGGCAGGGCTTGCTTGGGGAGTGCCCTCGAGGTACTCGTGGGCCAGCTGCTTATGTACAGTTTGCCTCCTTGCGACTGAAGGAGCCCTGCTGGCTCAGACCAGAGACGCATCTGGCCTACTCTCCTGATTCCAGCAGGGGACAGACAAATGCCTCCTCCTAGGAATCCCATCAGAGGGGCAGCACTGGGTACAGTGCCTCTGAACATGGGTGAGAGGCTTTTGTGGCGAACTCATCATGGTAGCTCTCGGCCTAATTCTGATTAATGTCCTCTGTACCCTTTCCACTGCCTTCCACCCCTCTAAAATGTTCCTTTGGGGGCACTGCTAGGTCTTGGGCCAGGGGTCTTCAGCCCCAGATCTATTCCAAAGGGCCCCGGATCTGTGACTGTGGGAAAGACGGACTCTCCGCACGTGCTGCAGCACCCCCACCCCCTCCTTTCCCCTTTGTGGCATTTAACCTTGTATTTCTTCGGTTTGAGACGATCTGGCTCAGGGTTCCAGTTAAATACAGAGCGCATTTTATTTGGGCCGATTCAGATAGAAATGTAATTGTCTGGCCGTGCCATCTGTGGCCGCCAATAAACCCTCTTAATGAATTCTAAATCATTTTGACAAATAAAAAGCCACGTGTGCAGCTTTCGTGCACATTTCTGCCCTGAGGCCCCAGGTCCCTCCAGAGCCTAGCAAGACCCCTGCAGTCCGCCCTTCCTGCGCTTTCTCCCTCACTGTGGACCCCGCCAATCCAGCCAGCCGCCGCCGCCTCCTCCTCCTCCTCCTTACTGTCCGAGTGCCCGTAGGGCAACATGTCCACGCGCCGCACTTCCTTGGCATAGTACTCCTCTTCCTCGCTGCTGCCGGCGCTCCGTCCGCCGCAGGCCGCCCGCTCATGCACCAGCTCCTGCGTGCTGTTGTACAGCAGCATCACCTCGGGAGGCGGCTGCCGGGGCACCCCTGCCGCTTCCTCGGGGGGGGTCAGCAGCTGCAGCTTGCTGAGGATTTGCCCCCGCACGGCCTGCACTCGGCGGGCCCGGGCCGCCTCCAGGTCCAGGATCTGGCACGTCGAGAGTGCCAGGGCCACGCCGTGGGGCACCAGCAAGAGCATCAGGCAGAGCATGCTTGGGGGGCAAAGTCTCCCCAGGGGGAGGGAGAACAGGGGCTCTTATCCGAACACCCCACTAGGCCGGCGACAAGTTCCGCTGTCCACTGCCAGGGTGCAGGGAGCCGCTGTTCAGTCCTGACGGGATCCGTCACAGGCTGCCGGATCTGGACATCCCCCCGAGTGGATGCACAAAGGCTTTGGAAGCTGTGCACAAGCCCCGAGCACGGGAGCAGAGGGGGCGTCACCAGCGGGTGGAGTGGGACACCCCCTCAGTGCAGGCATCGGAGGTATGTGTGGCCACCACCGCGTTGTTCTCGCCGCAAGCTGCTGTGCTGTGCTGTGCTGTGCTGTGCTGTGTGCAACCAGAGAACCGGGCAGAGAGTTGCTTGGTGCTCTCTTTGCAGAGAGCTCCGAGAGAGAGAGAGAGAGAGAGAGAGAAGCTCTCCCCCGTCATCCTCCACCCGCTTCCTGCCACATGCTTTTGCTCCACAGAGCAAGCATTGATCCCCAGGCGTGGCAGAGAGAAGGGCCAGGAGCGCTGCAAAAAGGTCCGAGGAGTGTAGTGCCTTGCGTGCTGTTGCACTCCGCTCTGCCTCTCCATGCTCCCAGATTCCCTCTTTTCCTTCCCGGTGCTTTGCGTGCTGATGCGCCGACACAGATGCAAAAGGCCGGCCACTGCATCTGCTCCTGAGCCAAGGCTAAGCTGTTTTTCTCCAAAGGCCGGACAGCAGAGCGATTACGGCAACACCACCACTGACAACATAGAGAAGCTGACCAGCCGAGTTTAATGCGGCTTGGACGTTGACCCCACTGCCACGAGGGACGGCTCCAGCCCTTGCCAGCTGGTTTCAGTCCATTTTCAGCGCTTGCATTTTATTGGATTGGCCCCTGCCACGGAGCTTCTGTCTCAGAAAAACAGTGGGCTCAACCTTTGAGAATCCTCCTCCTTTTGCATTTTGCTCCTGCTGGGTGCTGCTTTTCCAGATTTTGCTGGTGCTTTGGAAGGATGAAGGACTAATACTGACAAGCAATAACAAGGAAATCTCAAAGGAGCCTGGAAATGGGAGTAAGAGACAGCAGAAACACACGCGGTGCTGTTGTGACTGAGGGAAAAGGAGCTGGAAGAAGAAGACAAGAGCTGGAAGTCAAGTTGGCTTGCCCTGTGGCGACCTCTCTGCTGAAAAGGGCTAGTATCCTTAATATCTTGCTGAAGAGTTGAAGACTAAGAAGTCAAGGGCAGCCTTCCTTAAACCATTTTGCCTTCAGGAAAAGTTTCTCACTGGTGAGAAGCACAAGCTCCGTGGCTGTTCTGTTGAGAAAGAACGAAAAAGACGTATTTTTGCTCTTTATCCAATATATATTCAGTCCATTGTTAATCCCTTTAGTCCATTGTTAATTCCAACCTAAAAATGCGCTTCGGTAAATCGCATGTGATAGAATGAATCAGGAAATCTCCCCTGGAGCAAAGGAGGCTCTCTGGACTGCTCCATCCAACAATACAGCCCCACCTATAGCTTTGCTAGGTAAAGTATCTTATGCATCACCTGGCAGAACGTCACCCACAGCTCAGCTCTCACCTGTACCTGCCTGACGAACCTCTCGTGTTTGCTGATACCAGTACAATGCCTTCTGCTGACTGCCAGGAGAAAATTGGGGAAGGTTGCAATGGTGTCGGAAGTCCCGAAAATGCAACGTCAGACATGTCCGGTGGAGTTTGCTGTCATCAGGGGTGATATGAGACCAGCTTTCAAGTTAATCAAGCACGGTTGAAAAGAAAACAACTTTGAATGTTTTTGTCCAACTATGGCTGAAGCGATGCTTCATGTTCAACATGTTTCAGGTTTTCTGATGTAGTGAAATGGTTTTGGAGAATGCACAAATAGCTCCCTTATGAAAGATGTTGGGAATATTTATAGGAATGAGACAATTCAAAGGCATCTGGAACGAGCCTATTAAAGCATCAACTTAAGCGTACAGAACATGTCGAGCTGCGCATTCAAATAAAACCTGAATTCTTTTCTTCTGCTTTCCTGTTTTTTTTTCTAACACCATAGAAAATCCAACTTTATTTGCAGTTACTGGAATGAGACACTGAAAAAAGCTTCATAGTTGTGGATCATCCTTTGCGCTATTTTTTGTTCTCCACAACAGGGCCTGTGCAGATACAAAGTTTTGCCATAACACAACTGTTCCCTTTACCCTTTGTGTGGGGTGCCATTTTATCACTCTGTTGTTTTTCATGCCATACATTTTGCTGGTGCTGGAACACTTCACTGCCTATAATTTACACACACACACACACACACACACACTAGTGTACACTATTAAACAAAAGAGTGCCCTAGCACTTTAACTTTAAATGTTGTATTAAAGAATTAATCCCTACAGTCTTCCCTGTCACATCTGTTTTAGCAGCGTGTTGGGTTTTATTTTCCTAATTAAGCATTTCTGATTTGCACTTCCAATCCAAAAACAAATGCCGCACACTTTGTTTTCTGACATTTCCTGGCCTGTAACAGGCAATCAGACTTGAATTAATGATCACTTCACACTAATTAAAGCGTGGCTTTGGTTTTTTCTAAAGGTTCACTGGGAGTTTTGGCTGCTCAGGTTAATCCCGCCTTCCTGTTTCCCTCCCACAGAATGCAGCAGGATGCACACACCAGAAAAGGCGAAATACCCTGTCCAATAGGGTGGACTGGTGGGTTGCCGAGCTGGAGCAATCTGGTTTTAAGAAAGCTGTCCTACTGAGCCTCAGCTTCCACATCAGCAACGTGGGGGTAATATTACCTCCTACTTTACAGACCCATGTAAGGATCATTAACTATGCGCACCAAGTCGTTTGAAGATTCAGAGAAAGATTCCCAGCCAAGTAAAAGCAAATGCAAGTACTCTGCTTGTTTTTTCTTTAATTTTCCATTTTCTGTGCCATCAGGCTAACATGGAGAGGAGCAGGGGGACTGTGTAAGCCACCTTGGCTTCCTTGCACAAAAAGGGCGTTATAGAGGTGTGTAAAAAAAGCCCTGGGCAATTCCAAAGGACTGCTGCTGTTCCTGGAGTTTTGCAACCTTGGCGTGCACAGCACCACGATGAAGATCAAAATCTATTGCTACACCTCTGGCGTGGTCCTTTTGTGTTTGGTGGAGAAACAGGAGGATGGGCACCTACATCGGCGCGAACAAGGCCTGTCTCGTGCCCTTCAGTCAGCGCAAGCCACGTCTCATCTTCAGTCCCCCCTTCTCAGGTTTCCATCTGCTTGAACAAACAGGTTGTCCAAACTCAGGCGCACCCCAGCGCCGCTCAGCTTTTAGGCCCATATTGATTGTCCGCGTTTCTGTTTGTCTCCTGGAGAAGATCGATCCGCCAGTTGGCTTCAGCTAATAGGGGGCACGCCAAGCCATTAGCAACGGGCAGCGAGAGAACACACGGTGCCAACCTGAACATGGCCTCTTCCTCGCTGCAGCCAAGCCGTGAGTTAGACCTGGCTCTGTTCCGTTTGCCTGTCAGCAGTTTAATTGTCGTGGAGGCGGAATTGTTCCCTTCCGTAGTCACCCTGCCACTGCTCTCCGCCTGTTTTGCTGCCTTTCAGAGTGTCAGGAGAATGGGCTCCAGGGAGTCGTAAAGGAAGGGTTCACAGCCTGGCGGGCTGGCAATACGAGATGCCAGGGCTGAAAGTTGTACAAGATGGGGATGGATGGAGAGTGATTCCTACCTGCTTTGGATCGCTTAAAAAAAATTATTCCATTCAGAGTTGCGATCTGACTCTACTGGTCCATCCAGACCAAAATTGTTCATTCTTACTTCCAAAAAAGTCTTTCCCATCATCTGTTCCCTTCTCTCCCCCCTCCCCCTTTTAAACTGCAAATATTATGGATTGATTTTGCGATCTTCTGCGTACAACAGAAGTGTGTCCCCACTGAGCTAGTGTGCAACCTTAAAGATAAAGATGCTAGTCCTCATATTTCTAAATAAAGGGCTGATTTAAGTTTTTAGGAAGAGCTATTTGCACAACAAAACCCACCTGCATTATTTACTTAGCCCACATTCAGGCTGCAGGGCACATGTGGCTGGAATTTTGAATATGCAGCACATGCTTGGTGGTGGTTCTTTCATTAGTGTGGGTTATACCAAGGTTAAATAACCCTCACATAACCAGTGGTTTGTATCAGGGTTGTTTAATGCCCATATAAGCCGCTTGTCAGGTGTGCACGACACAAACCGTGGCAACCCGTGGCTGCAGTGTCCTCATTCAAAAAGGTGGCCAAGATGCCCTGCTACGCCTCACAGGTGCATTAACTTCTGGTGACTTGTCAGGATGTGTGAATGCTTGGTCTGTGTACCCCAGTATTGTTGCCATGGATTGGCAGTGGCTCTCCAGGATTTTAGGCAGGAGATTTCTCAGCCCTGCCCAGACATCTTTTGATACAGGATTGCACTTCAGGGATCGATGGCCATTTGAAGAATCCCTGATATCCCTGCTGTGTTGCTCCTTTAACCAGGTACAAGTTGCTAGTCCTCATTGTTATGTAGGAAAGCAGAAGGAATGCTAGGACCCTGAAGGTATGGAATAGGCTTCTATGGGAGGTGGTTGAGGCCTCATCGGTGAGGGTGTTCAAAGATGGGCTGGACATGCACATGGGGGGCATGTCGTGAGCGGAGCCGGCTGGAGCCAGGGGTCAGACTAGATGGCCCGGGAGGACCCTTCTGGCTCGCTCTGTTTCTATATTTCTGTGGCTTTTGACAGGGGTTTTAGTGACCCAGGGATGTCCCCCAAGAATGGCTTCCCCCTCTGCACAGTGCCAACTGCTTCTTCAAGCAGCAGCTAAATGTCTCTAATCCTGATTTCTTTGATTGCCAGAGATGATATGGTGGCATTTTGGCCCAGCCCTCTTGTCCTTGGGTCATCTGCTGCCGGAATGGGGCTGCCAGACGCTTCCCGGCACTCAGCTGTCTGGCTCATGGGGGTTCAGCTGCCCGTCAGCGGCTTTCTGGGCAAAAAAGAACCACTCCCCTTG